TCTACTGGGGCCCAAAGATTATTAATTGTTTGTGTATATTAATTGTCCAATTACACGTTCACCCCCGTAGTTATGCAAGTATGGGCTGCTTTAGTGCGTTTGATTAATTCAATCCTGCGGTCAAGATGTATTCTCATTTCTTTCGTTGAGCACTATTCTCAATGGAGCGCGACCCTAATTGAAAATATGAAACTTGTAAAATTTTGAATAATTAAACTTTTCAAAAATTAGTTAAAGAAATTAGATTAGAAAACGTAACCAAAACAACGTGAGTTAGTGTACATATATTATTTGTAAATGTCTAATATATCATTTAGATAATATATTAAAACTTTTTCAAAAAATATTAATCCATTGCGTTTTTAGGTAAACTTTTTCAAAAAATTGATAACATATTAAACTTTTCAATCCACTGTTTCTAAGTGATTTTACAAATTTGTTACATAAAAACTTGGATTGAAAAATATAATATTAAAATGTAAACTATAATATTATGAGCCATTAAATGTTTAAAAATACAACAATCTCAGTTGAATTTCCGTTTTTTATTAAATATCATTTTTTTTTCTATTTATAACGGGCACTTCTCATCCCTAAACAAAGCGTAATATGTGATTTCGAGTGAAACTACGAATCCGAGATTCCTCTCTTTCTTCGAAGTATGAATTCTCTAACAGTGCGGAAAGAAGATCAGATCTCCGCGCCTGTGGAAGGCTATTATTAGAAGTGTGATGTGGTCGTAAGTAACGGTTCATGAAAGACAGATTGTGGTCCGGGTGTAATTCAATCAGCTGGGCACGGTCCGACCGGCCAGACGTAGTTCGGGGTACCTATGAGATAGAGTGGTGCTAGGCGGAGGTGGTCGCCTAGGTAGTTAGGCACCTCGGCAGCTAGACAACTCAGCACTTGAGCAGCTCAGCTAGAGGGTCCTGTCGGGGGGACCAACGCCTGGAGGTGTTATGTGGCTTAGGACATGCAGAGGTTCACAAGCTCAAGGACTCCTAGGATTTGGAGTATCTGACCTGATTCAGTGAAAGACATGAGGAAAACTTCTAGTCTAATAAGAACTCTTAAGCCTTTAGACAACCTCACCTATAAAAGGGAGCAGGTTATTTCATTTACACAACACACATATACAAATTCTCTCGTTACTCTGTCGTTTTCTCTTCAGACTAACTCTGACTTGAGCGTCGGAGTGTTCGCGCCGGGACCACCCCCGCGTGTTTTGAAGTACCGACAATCAAGAAGACGTAACCCGGTTTGGAGAGGAGCGGTCCAGCGGTTCAAGAATTTGTGGTATAACAAATTGGCGCC